GAGGAGGCAAGAGGGTCATGGCACAGGCACGTGGAAAATTTAGATGTATAATGAAGACCTTCTCCTACCATTAAACCCTGTAGAGCCCTGAGATTCTCCCTGGAAATACTCCATTTGGAATTCCCTGAAAGATTTCATAAATCTATCCTACCCATAGTTCACCGGAGGTGTGCTTCAAATGCTTGGCAAGCCGTGGCAACCACTGCTTCTCCCTTGTCTATACAGATGTCACAGAGTCTGCGGGCTGGCGGGAAACGATTGGGGTTCTGGATCCGTGGGTATTTCCTTCAGCTTTCTGCAAGCTGCGCGGCTTCGATCAGAAAATGGTACAGATTGATTTCATGCATACATTCCAGTTGGGTGTATGTCAAGATCTCATTGGCTCCATTATCAAAATTCTCTGCCGAACACGTGGCATGTTTCCTGGGCACACAATTGCGCTACGTTTGAACCAACTGTTTGCAGAGATCAAGGCCTGGGCTAGAGAAAACGGACAACAGATTAGCCTCAAGCGGCTACGAAAGAAGACCCTCTCTTGGTCAAAGGGCTGTCCAGTGTTCAAATCAAAAGCCGCAGATTCAACAGTATTCCTACGATTCTTGAGCGAGAAGCTTCAACGCGAACCACCTGCCCCTGGAAGCCCATACCCTGGTCTAGTGGCCGCGGCTTGGGCAGCCGATCAGCTGTCTGGATGTTTGATGAGAGCTGATACCTTCCTCACTGCGGATGAAAAACATCACACAACAGTCATTGCCAACGTGTTCCTCACCACTTATGCGGGTCTTGCTTCCGAAGCTGTCGAACGGGGCGAGTATTATTTTAAGATGCGGCCGAAGTTTCACTACCTACAACACATGCTGGAAGATGACAGACCGAGCTTGAGGTCCCCTGCGTGGGACCATTGTTTCATCTTTGAGGATCATATCAAGCATTGCATCAGGATGCTTCGCAAAGTTAGCCACAGAACCGCAGAACGCCAGTTGCTACGTCGCAACGCTGAAGCTGTTAGACACCACACCTTGAAGCTCCTACTGAAATGAAAATGACCACTGTCTTAGAGTCTTTTAGTGCTCACTTCTTTACTTTTGTACTGCTTGGAGGTTCACGGGGAAGTAGTGTAAGATAATTATGCAAAATACTTATGAATCGTGTATTGGTCCCAGCTACCATCAGTCCCCGTGACACTCCAAGTTGGGGTGAAGCAGCTAAACCCTAGCCCCTAGACCCTGGACCGCAGATTCCAAACCCTAAACCCTGAACC